TTTTTTTGTAAGATCTTATTTATTTGATACAAAAAGTTACAGTTAAGTTTTAAAATGGTGGTGGTATATTTTCATATGTCAAACAAGGAATTAAAAAAGTTAATTAACTTGGTTTTGATATTTATATTCTAAAATGATTATTATAAAAAGCCTCTGCAATGTGCAAAAAAAGGCTAGACAAAGACTACAGATGCAAGAGTTTGGTTTCTTTCAGTCAAATACTCGCATCCAACTCTACAGAAATAAATTCTGAAGAAAATTGTACAAAATAAAAAAGGGAGCGATTATAAAAAGGGAGGGAAAGTTATTTTGGCAGTTCTTCAATGATGATTCGGGAGACTGAATTCCATCCAGTAGAAGCATCTCCCCGTGGATAATCTGAGCAAGTCCCGACCCAGATGGCAATATCCACCAAGCCGGCATTGATCCCTTCACACAGACCTTCCACTGGTTAAAGACAAAAATCAGGTTACCTCAGCAGATGCAATCGCTTTGTATTTCACAACTGAAGGTGGGCACAGGTACTTAAGAACAACAGTTCATTGCAAGCTCATGCTATTTAGTTAAACCTGAATAGCATTTTTAGAAATAAAAACTATTACTTCGAGATATGGCAACATAGGTTAGAGAGTCATGCACTGCCTTTATCCACGCTGCTTCCCGACGCCTGTTGCAGTACCTGAAGCAGATCACAATCCACAGGATGGCTAAATGGGAGGTATACCTCTTCTTTAAATGTCCAAATTTACAAACTGGTAGCTGGGATATGGCTTCAACCCCATCCAGCCATCTTTTTAGCAGTGATGGGGAGGGGACACAGCCATACCTGGCTTCCGCAGCTAAGCCCTGCAAACACAATTGCCACCCTGTAATCCTTTCCACTCCTAATTCGCTGCTTCTGTATGAAGTTCCACTTCTGTTGCCCTTTTTTTTTTCCCCACTAGCACCATTAGTTGGAGGTGGGTCAATGAAGACAGGTGGGTCCTACCCCTTGATGAAAAAAACCTACCGTAGCTCTGGACGTTAGATTTCATGCAGTCATGAAACAGTACAGAGAGGAAAATGGAGAAAGAGTATAGACTTAACGTTACTCCCCTTTTCCTAGTGTCACCTCCTTTTATGTTGAATCACTTCACTAATTTGCCTTTTGCTTAGAAATTGAATAATTGTTCCTAGATATTTCACTTTGGAGATACTTTTGTGCCCCATCTGAAATTATAGTAGAAATTCCAGGAGGAATAAGTCTTATTTTATGCACAGATAATGTGCAAATATCAGTATTTTAAGCCAGGATGACACTGTCTGCTTGGCAGTAAGGCAGTTTCTCCACATGCTAATACAGCACAGAATGTCTCTGTATTCACGTTGTAGCAGAGATCAGTAGAACTCTCTGGATAGAAATCTCTTTCCATTTCTAAATTGCAGGATGTAAGTACCATGAAAAATACCACAGTAATAAAGTACCACTTAATAAATAATTCTAATACTGTTACTATTGATAGTCAACTGTGAGACAGCAGAGTAAGAGTAACAAGTGTTAGCTGGCCACTCTTCTGCCTCTTCGTTCAGTCTTTTGACCTTCTGAGGCAGACTGTGCTCTGCATTTGGTAACTACGTTTGCTGCTGGCTTCTACTCCATCTCTGTTCATGCAGTCTTGGCATACATACCTGAAGAAGTCCGGTGTATATTAATAGTAGAATTCAGCTCCGGGCTTCCTTGATCTAAATATATTATGGCTTCAATAGGAAGTGGCCCAGCACATTCTGCTCCGTTAAAAGTAAAGTACCAGCGCTGACAACAGGCATTTTTGCATTTTAGCCGAAGCGATCCACTGAAGAGAACGCGGAGAGCACTGTTCGAGCGCATCTTTGTAAATGTACATTCCTAAGAGGAGACAAAAATGCTTTGCTAGCAGCCTCTTGTTTTGAACCCATTTATTTTATATATATTTATGTTTAGGAGATATATTTATATTTAGGAATGTATTTCTATTTATTTCAGAATGTTTTGGCTATTCTCTTTAGTCCCTTCCCTCTGAAAAAAAAAAGAAGAAGAAAAAAGTAGAGCCTGGCAAATACCATACAGTGCAAAGACGCAAATCAGAAACAGCACCTCATAGATGGTAATGGAGAAGGGGGATTATGGAAATTCTTAATTTTATTTTGATAATACCTGCTGTTAAGTTGGTAACCTAGTTACCTTCTGGGGTTTATGTAAAGGGGTGTGAGCTGTCTGAAAGCTGCACTCAAGTCCTTGCATGAGAGGACAGTGTAATTTCTGTCTCAGTTACCAGAAATCCTGGATTTAACAATTATCACAAGATTTGTGAGAGGTTTAAACCCTGACAAAAGCTCCACAACTGAAAAAGACTTTCAGCCTTAACAGTTACAGATCTGGTCTTCTAAATGTACTCTTACACCAGCCACATCATTCTTGTGAAACACTATTACAGAAATGAAATGGGCACATAGCTGTGAAACGTAGCTGAGAAGAATCCGAAGTAGCTAAACCTTTGAGAAGTTCACCCTTACATGTAGAAAAAGGCTCCAATAGGAAATCTGTGTGATTGGCGCTACCCAGCTCATAGAGGCAGACCTAAAGCCCGCTGTGGTTGGTGAAGTGCAGCACCCTAGGCAAAGGTAACTTACTGCTATTTTCCCAAGATCGATGCCATAATTAAGTGCACTCCACGAACACTGCTTGAAGTTGGGCGTCCAGGATTCCTCGATGCTCTCGCGCATACACTCGCCCTTCTCCCCCTTCAGCCCGTCCCGTCCTGGGATCCCAGGTGTCCCGGGGATCCCGTTGGCTCCTGGGTTTCCATCCCGTCCAGGAACGCCACTGGGGCCTTGCAAGCACATGCCGTTGTACTGAAACACAGAACAGATCTTGCTGCTTCCGTCCATTAACTCCAAGGCTAACCAAGTTAAACACAAACAAACAACAACAACAAAACACAAAAACTCCTGCTGTGACACAAGCTAATGGGCTGTTTCTGCATCACCAAGAAAATGGATCCATAGAGGAAAAAAAAGGAAAAATAAAATTTCAAAGATAAGCAGTGCCAGCAGAATCTGCTGTAAATTAAGATGCCAATTATTTTATGAAAACATGCATAAATCCTAGAATTAAAAATTGGCCTAGTGCAAGTTTTAAAACCTGTTGGAAAACCTCAGAAGATTCAAAACATTCCAATACAGAAACAAAAAAATATAGAGAGTTATATGTTAACAGTTACTTTCTCCTAACCCACCATTGCTTGGGTAACTGTCTCAGCTAATAAGCTTTCATTATTATTTTTTCCTTTTTTTTTTTTTTAAAGTAGAGAAACTTTTGCATTTCCTAGAGAGCAGAGGTTAACGCTGCTTTTCTTCTGCCGCCATTCCTGCAGGGCAGAATCACGTCGCAAGTCAAGCCATGTGAGTCAGACTCCAGAGTGCACACAGCGTGTCAGTGCTGATGTGGACATGGGAAGCTGCACGCTGCAATCAGCCTGAACTCAGGATCCCCATCCGCAGCGGTGGGAAGGCATGCATGGGAGGACAGCACACTAACGCCCTCCCTAACATCACAATATTAGGAAAGGTCAATTGTTGCCCTCTCAAACTGCATGTTAACACACACTGCCTTCATACCTTACGAGATTTGGGCTTGCTGTCCTTGGAGAGTACGTTTGTGCAGCCCAGAGCTCATTCCCCCAGTGGCACGAGCGCTGGATGCCAGGGGGAGCACACACATATGGAGCCAGTGGAGCAGGCACAGAAACGTTGAGCAGGGGCTAGCGATCACAGGCCTTTTACTTTAAATGCTCTGTCCCGTCTGGTGACTGACGGTTCCTCCAGTCTTCATCCCAAATGCTCACAGATAACTATATTCTGCTCTTCCCCTTTCTCACACCTATTTCTCTTCATCCGTTTTAAACTACCTAATCCCCACTTGTTTCAAAAAGAAAGGATCATGCAACTATTCCCCCTCCTGCAAGCCATGCCACTATCTGCACCGCGGGAGCCCCTGCCCTCTCTCCTTTGTCACATTGGTGAACTTTCTTCTTCTGGACTTGTTCCTTTTCCTGTGCGTTGGCGCAAAACCCAGCATGGGCATCACAGGCTCGGCTGGAGCCATGCTATAAATAAAATCAGTGACTGTACGGGTTCTAGTAGGAGGTAAGATGAGAGTTGGACTAATGGATGCTGGCATTCCCTTACTACCTTCGCCAAAGAAAACGCAGTAGGCATACGGCAGTGGAAATAGTGGGATGTCATAATCAAGAAGGCCACGTATAGAAAAGTTAGCTGGAGAGAAGGCTGCTTGGTGAAGCACACACCAACCTAAGGACCACGAGAATGATGCAAAGACATTTCTGTTTCACGCAGCATCGCTTGTTACCTGCTTTTGCTGCTATTTTCCCGTTGGACTCCATTGGCAGCAGTGACTGGCTCTGGTTTTACATGTGGTTACTCATCACAGAAATCCCGAGGATATGGAAACCGGTGAGATTTGGGGTCCTCCGAGGCTCAGACCCGTGGCCCTCCCGTCCCCCGGGGCACCAGCAGCACCGGGTGGCGGCAGCACCAGCACTGCGAGGGAGCAGGGCTGCCCTGAGGGAGGAGCCGCGGCCGCTGCCCACCAAGAGCCGCACCGTTTCCTTCCAGAGAGAGCGGCCCACACCGTTGCACACCCAAAACACTGAGGTGAGCGAAAGAATTACCTGGGCTTTGGGCTCCACTCCAACTAAATGCACCTATGCTTGCCGAATCAAGTCTTTTTTCATGCTTTCTTAAGCTGCTAATGCATAAAACATGTTTTAAAATGAAAATGTCCACTGAAGGCAGGATTGCCTCTCAGGCGTGCCGTCATGCTGCCCTGGAAGGGCTTTAGCTGAAGCGGTCTGAACAACTGGGCTGCGGCTGACTCAGCTGCCATCTATTTACCTGGGCTTTGCTGCCCACTCTGCCGCACCTGAAAGCACGAGGCAATGCCAGAGGAATGCCCTGTACAAAGGACCCTAAAATACCGCTCCAACAGAAAACGTAAGCTCCTCCATGTGTGCAAATTCCTTATTCTCAATGCAATTCAATTTCCACAGTAAAAACGAAAGAGTAATGAGGTGGTGAGAAAGGGAAGGAGCTTTGCCACCCACGGTGCTTCCAGCACGTCACTTCTGGGGATCTCGCTGGAGATCATGGAAGAAACGGCCATGCCACTGATTTTCTGCAGGAGGAGAACAGCAGTCCAGCAGCTCACAGAAATAGCTTCACATCTGCTTTCTACATTCCAAGGACTGGAAAATCTCCCTCCTTTCTTCTATCCCCGAGATGGGATAGTCCCAACACATGCACGTTTCTAGCTGCAATGGAATTGCAAACAGAGGTATGCAGTCCCAGGTGCCAAAGGGAATAAATGCATTAATGCGACTCCAAGGAAAAGTGGGCTCAGTAAGCGTGCAGATACAGTTTTCACAGTCTCCAATGGCTGCTAAAGAGCAGTCCTTTTATTTCTGTTTTTGTAGTTTGTTATTTATTCACTAGCCTTTTAGGAAATACACCGTCTTTACTCCTTATGTCGCAAGGACTGCAAGATTTCAGCGTCGCCGCTGCAATCTGCAGAGGGCAGGAATGGGCTCACAGTGCAGCCTTTATTCCCGCCGCGATGCCTCCCCTCCGGCTCGGCCTCGCTTCGCCCTGCGGACACGACCGGCAGCGGGGACGACGCCGGCTTTAACCGCAAACCCCTCAGACTCTGACCCTGCGTAGAAAACACGAAGACACGCACCCAGCCGCCGAAATCCAGCGGTTTCTGTCCAAGCCCGTCCAACCCTTTCTCAGCATTTTCCTGATTCAGCGCAACCAGGGGGTAATAAAAAAACACCAAGAGAGAACCCAAACGGCGCAGGGAAACACGGCGGCGGGCCCCGGCGGGGGCCCGCCCGGAGCGGCCCGGTGCGGCGGCGAGGTTTTCCAAAACCGGTGGGTTTTCGGGCTTTTTTTCCCGTCTTTGCAATAAAAAAGCAGCCGCGCGGCTCCTCCGGCCGCCCCACCGCCCCCG